AGTAACTAGTTACTAGTAAAAGTAACTATTGCATTACTTTTGCGTTTCTCGCTCCAGTAGCCCTCACCACCCGGCCCCCACCTTCTCGCCGTGTGTTTCCAAAGCCAGCTGAATAGAGCGGACGACAAAGACAAGAACCTGCAGAGAGTTTTGCATATATTGCAACTCGGTGTAAATGACATCAGGGGGGAACGCTATCTGACGGGCCTATTAGCCCTGTCAGATAGCGTTCCCCCTGCTTAACATGGAGGGAACGCTGTCTGACTGGACTATAAACCCTGTCAGATAGCATTCCCCTATCTGACAGGGGGGAACGCTATCTGATGCGGTGCGAATATCATCAGGCTGCATTACCTCTACTCATGGGTGTGAAGTTTTTTAACAGGGCGTTCAGATCTGGTGAGTGTATGAAATTAATAACTGGGGATGTCTAATTCTGAAATCCTGTGTGTTTGGGTTGTTATAGATACTGCAACATCTATCTATCTATCCATCTATCTGTCCATCCATATTTCTCCCTTTCTCCATATAGGCTAACATTCTATCGTTCAAGCTCTCCGTAGTTCCCCTGTGGTGCGAGCACAGGGCGGCTGTTACGCGCCTTTAGCGAGCATGCGCAATTCCTGTTGCTTGCGCAGTGAATCATGCCGCCTGCGATGTGCGGAGATGCAGGGGAAACCGTATCTGATGGGGAAACGGAACTCGACATAACACCGGTATTTCCATCTGCAAAAGGCTCTCCATCTCTCTGTGTGTGCTGCCAGCGGAAACACCCACCTACCCAACTGACAGACGTAATCTCGCTATACATCAGCCAATCTCATCCTCCCCTCTCTCATGACAAGGTGCGCACGAGTCCTATCATGAAAAAAAGTAAAAAAAAAAGAGGGTGTTGGCAATAGTTACAGTCAAAGTAATTAATCAGATTACTCGTTACTAAAAAAGGTAATGGCGTTAGTAGGTATAGTGGAGGATGTTCCTTTTCCAGGTGGATCATCAAAATAAGTGGTCCTCCTAACTGTCAGTCATTCTGATGATATGTTTACGTAAGGCCGTCCTACGTGCTCGCCCCCATTTTCAATTACCGGTGGTGAGTCTGAAATAGTTGAAAAATTGCAGATCTTCTTTAGGTAAGTAAGCTTGTATGAGCGATGCAGACAGCAACTTTTAAACGGAGCGTGCACGAGGAGAAATGGGCTCTGGCACGCATTTAATAGATGTTCCCTCTCAGGAGCGGGTACAGGGTTGTGCATTTGTGCATGTAAGTAAATATATATATATATATATATAAGTTAAATGAGGGTATGGATGGATGCATAGATAGAAATATACCTTAACACAGATATTTAGCCTACAATTGAAAACCAAAACAGCTTTCTGCACCTGAGCTATATGGCAGATTCCTTTCTCTATTTTGTTCAAAGATTCTTCCAGAAACTTCCGGAATGACCTCCCAGCCCTCCCACTCATAGCTGCATTTGAAGGATCATACTTGAAACGGCTCTTGTTGGGTAATGGCAAACATTTGAAGGTGTGGCCGACCGTCTGATTCTGCTACGCCCTCGCTAACCTGCTGAATGACATTCTCAGGTTTCCGTTCGAGTGGTAATACTAGTCTTCACACTCATTCAGCGATTAGTGTTAAAGAGAGAAAGTGAAGGCAGCCATGGAAGGAGAGCTTTATTTGAATATTCCAACATTGGTTTTATCATTTATCTTTGCATTATGGCACGATTTCAACCCCTGCCGCTTCAGCCTGCAGCTGAGCTCTGTGTCAGTGTGTTTAAACTCCCCCACCTTAGTCATCATCACCATCGTGGCCTCCTCACCTGTCACACAGTGAGCTTATCTCTGCTCTCCGGCTTAGGAAGTAGAGGCAGAGCGTTTGTTTCACATCTGCAGCTTTTGAAGGAGGCGTCCTCACAGACGGCACAGGGTGTGTGCAGATCAACCCGACCACAGTTGGGAAGAATGCCCGCTCTATTTGGGTGCCTAACATTTCCCACGTAAATGTGGATGAAAACGGCATCCGGGGCGGGGTGCGCCCGGCCGGCCTTTAACATCGAACTCGGCCATCTGGGAGCAGCCCTGCATTTTTAATTGGCTCCAGGCAGCGAACCAAAGGCGACAGTTAAACACGTCAGCGAAACTGTTTCTGTCTTTTTGTCTCCATGCTTAGATGCTGCTGTTTGGAGGGAAATATAAAAATAAGCTTAAGACAAAATCTGTTGAACAGCTGCTTGAAAAGCATATTAAAGCTAATTTATTACATTTCTTGTTAATTGTAGCTTTTGGTATAACCGATAAATCTCCAGCTGTACATTTTGTTCAGATCCTGCTGTGTTTTATTTATTAAGAAAAACCCCAAAGTGCTACTTTAAAGCAGCATTTTTATCTATGCAATTCTTGTTTTTGAGCCGCATGGAGATAATTTTTACTTTTGCCTGTTTTGATAATTTCTTTTCACTGTAATTTGATTCCTTAACCTTCTATATTTTCCTAGCAGATGGATAAAAGTCCAAAGGCTTCATGTAAACATATAAAACTGTCTAATAGGAGCTCCAAGGGATTGTTGGAGATCAAAAGATTAAATATTTGAAACCTGATTTCTCAAGTAAATTTCAACAATTGGCAGATTTGATCAATTTCATCATTTCAAATTATTTTATTCTTTTCTTTCTTTCTGCTTTTTTTAAAATTGTCATTACACTGTCACAAGTACAGGGCAATGAAATTAACACTCTGCATTTAATCCATCCCCTTGGGGAGCAGTTGGTTGCCATTGTGCGGAGCCTGGGGAGCAGTGTGAGTTTAAGGGTCTTGCTCAGGGACCC